ATATGTCTAACATGATCTCAATTACCCCCAGTATCTCTAGGAGGGTCATAGTCATCCCCCATTATCTTTAGGAGAGTCTCAGTCATCCTCAGTATCTCTAGAAGAGTTTCAGTCATCCCCAGTATCTCTAGAAAGGTCCCAGTCATTCCCCATTATTTCTAGGAGAGTCTCAGTCGTCCTCAGTATTTCAGGAAGGGTTCCAATCATCCCCAGTATCTCTAGGAAGGTCCCAATCATCCACAGTATTTCTAGAAGGGTCCCAAGCATCCCCAGTATGTCTAGGAGGGTTCCAATCATCCTCACTATCTCTAGGAGAGTCCCAATCATCCCCAGTACGTTTAGGAGGGTCCCAAGCATCCCCAGTATGTCTATGAGGGTCCCAATCATCCCCAGTATGTCTAGGAGGGTCCCAATCATCCCCAGTATTTCTAGGAAGGTCCCAAGCATCCCCAGTATTTCTAGGAAGGTCCCGGTTAGTAATATGTTACGGTCCCTCACCTCTCCTCAGGTAACCTGTTCACACTGATGCGTCAGTCAGACATCAATACCTGACAGGTGTCACCCTCTGCGCCCTCCACACCTGTAATTAGTCACACTCCCTTATTGCGGTCACTTACCTCCCTTTGCAGGTGTGATCAAATTGGCACATGTTCTATAACACCTATCACTCTTCTTTTTTACATGTGTTAAGTGAGGCAATCATACATTAAAAAGAATTATATGAAATTTGAAATGAGTCAGTAACTCGAAATAATGAAAGTGAAACTTCGCTGAGGTAGATGCAGAACGAAAGTACGTAAAGTTTGTTGATGTACGAAGAGAATATTAGGAGAATGGCACAAACTACCCGCTGAAGTTGTCAACGCAAAGACACGTAAGTCATTTAAGTACCAGCTAGACACGCTGGGACAAAATGAATTCAACGGATTTCTAATGTTTGTTCAGCAGCTGCATCAGGATGATCGGGTGACGAATCCTAGCTAACAGAAATAGATGGTTGAATTAGTCATAGAAGAGGTGCCGAGATGATTAACACAAAGAGGTAAGAGGAAAACAGTAGTAAGTGAAGGTAGATGAGGCCTATACCTTTCATCAACCTACATCTCAGATGTATCTATAGTGCATATTTTATTGTGACAAAGTTCCTGGTGAGCGAAACGTTGCCACAGTGAAATGTCACATTAGTCGCATCTGTGTCCAGTTACGTAACATCTCTTATAAAACTGCATGCCATTTTTCCAGTATTTCATGGAATATTTTCTCTGCTGTTTTCATACCAACAGTGACCAGAAGGTGTGGAGAGAGCCTTTTGTTTTGCTCTCCCTGCCTCACACACCTAGACAATACACGATAGATCTTGGTCAAGATAGAAGTAGATAGACCATCATAATAGAGTCTCCGTGTGGACTCTGTCGTCATCTCGTCTCTCTCTTCGCCATGTACACACAGCGAGGCCAGTTAACAACATGCCATCAATTAGCAGACGGAGGATAGAGCCTCCATTACTCCTGGCACTGAATGGCCCATACAAGTTTAGTGCTTCATGAAGTACAACACAACAACAGGTGCAGCTGTGATCATAAAGTCGTTGATGTTCGTTGTTCGTGTTAAATATCGGCCCTTCAAAACACATAAAATTATATATAATTAAAAATTCATGTGTTCAGCTGTTTTTAATGTATAAAATCGGTAGATAAACTTAATTTACGGAGAAGCGCTAAATACGTCGGGTTCATATAGCTCCCGAGGATCCGGGAGCTATATGAACAGATCCAGTTTCGTTTATCTTAAGATATTCACTAAGGTTTGTGAAGGTCGGTATTTAACATACTTGTTGCTCTCAACACCTGCTGACCACAACACCTGCTGCCTTCAACACCTACTGAGCTCAACACCTATTGTGCTTAACGCCTGCTTCTCACAGAAGCATAGAAGCAATCTCGGATGCATATTCAAGGTATGTTTTGGACTGTGAGGTTGAAAAGTACAATAAAGGAAGAGAGGACATTAACCAGCTATAAATTATAAAGAAAAAAGTGAAGAATTCTGAATGTTATAGAGTACATAAACTTGGTTATCGTTCTCTGTATATCCGCCAGTGCATTTAAGTTTGTTTTATAGAACTGCGCTGTATAACCCTTACCAATGATATATATAGTTTATTATTGGTAAACTACTGAAGGCATTGTATTACACACTCCAGAAAGACGTAGAATTAGGAGAGATACGACTAAAGTGTACAAATGGAAAACCTTAATAAACAGACATAAATTATAAAGTGCTAAAAATATCTACGACAGGACTTGCAGCAACGGTTGGATAAAGTTGGATTTAGAGAGGATATAGGAAAGCATTAGTTTGGCAACAGATACGTGAATGATTGGAACAAATTCCCAAGTAGCGTCACTGACGCGAGAACTTTGGGTAGCGTTAAAAACAGGATACACAAGTATGAGAGTGAGTTGAAACTGCATGCGAGATACATAGACGGTATTAGGACATTTACTGGTGAGACGTTTCGCCCAAAAGAAAGCTTTACTGATCTGGTAATGATAAACAGGTATAACACTTGTGTCTCTAATATCAAATCGTCGATACTCGGTCAAACCCACCGAGTAAGGGCGAGTAGACCAACTGCAGTGCTCCTCTATCCCTTTCAGTTCGTGCCCATGTGTGCTTGTACGTGCCTATGTGTGCTTGTACGTGCATGTATGAATTTGTACCTGCCTATGTATGTTCCTACGTGAAAAATGGTATGATGATACCGACAAGATGTGGAAAAGACACTTATGTACAGTTTAGGACATTATAATAGAGGTAGAGGGATCATGTTTTGTTTGTATTTGGGTTTAGTACTTGTGTTTAGTATGTGGGACCAGACCGAGGGTTCAGATCGAGGGTTCAGACCGAGGGTTCAGACCGATGGTTCAGACCGAGGGTTTAGAGCAAGGGTTGAGAGCGAGGGTTCAGAGCAAGGGTTCAGGGGAGGGTTCAGGGGAAGGTTCAGAGTCAGGGTTCAGTGGAGGGTTCAGGGAAGAGTTCAGATCCTGGGTTCAGGGAGGGTTCAGAGCTAGGGTTCAGGGGAGGTTCAGGGGAGGGTTCAGCGGAGGGTTCAGAGCCAGGGTTCAGGGGAGGTTCAGGGGAGGGTTCAGATCCAAAGTTTAGGGGAGGTTCAGGGAAGGTTCAAGAGCAGGGTTCAGGGGAGGGCTCAGAGCCAGGGTTCAGGGGAGAGTTCAGAGCCTGAGTTCAGGGGAGGGTTCAGGGGAGGGTTCAGGGGAGGGTTCAGGGGAGGGTTCAGGGGAGGGTTCAGGGGAGGGTTCAGGGGAGGGTTTCAAGGGAGGGTTCAGGGGAGGGTTCAGGGGAGGGTTCAGGGGAGGGTTCAGAGCCAAGGTTCAGGAGAGGGTTCAGGGGAGGGTTCAGAGCCAGGGTTCAGGGGAGGGTTCAGAGCCAGGGTTCAAGAGAGGGTTCAGAAACCAGGGTTCAGGGGAGGCTTCAGGGTAGGGTTCAGAGCCAGGGTTCAGAGGATGGTTCAGGGAAGGGTTCAAAGCCAAGGTTCAGGGGAGGGTTCCGGGGAGAGTTCAGAGTCAGGGTTCAGGGGAGACCTCAGATCCTGGGTTCAGGGGAGGGTTCAGTGGAGAGTTCAGAACCAGAGTTCAGGGGAGGGTTCAGGGGAGAGTTCAGAGCCAAGGGTTCAGGGGAGGGTTCAGGGGAGGGTTCAGGGGAGGGTTCAGGGGAGGGTTCAGGGAGGGCTCAGGGGAGGGTTCAGGGGAGGGTTTCAGGGGAGGGTTCAGGGGAGGGTTCAGGGGAGGATTCAGGGGAGGGTTCAGGGGAAGGTTCAGAAGAGGGTTCAGGGAGGGTTCAGGAGAGGGTTCAGAGCCAAGGTTCAGGGGAGGGTTCAGGGGAGGGTTCAGGGAGGGTTCAGAGTCAGGGTTTAGGAGAGGGTTCAGAGTCAGGGTTCAGGGGAGGGTTCAGGGTAGAGTTCAGAGCCAGGGTTCAAGGAATGGTTCAAGGGAGGGTTCAAAGCCAGGGTTCAGGGAAGGGTTCAAGTCAGGGTTCAGGGGAGGGTTTAAGGGAGAGTTCAGAGTCAGGGTTAAGGAGAGGGTTCAGAGCCAGGGTTCAGGGAAGGGTTCAGGGGAGGGTTCAGAGCCAGGGTTCAGAGCCAGGGTTCAGAGCCAGGGTTCAGGGAAGGGTTCAGGGGAGAGCTCAGAGCCTGGGTTTAAGTGAGGGTTCAGTGGAAGGTTCAGGGGAGGGTTCAGGGGAGGGTTCAGGGGAGGGTTCAGGGGAGGGTTCAGAGTAAGGTTTCAGGGGAGGGTCAGAGTCAGGATTCAGGGGAGGGTTCAGGAGTTCAAGCCAGGATTCAGGGGAGGGTTCAGAGACGGGTTCAGGGGAGGGTTAAGAGTCTGGGTTCAGGGGAGGGTTCAGTCAGGGTTCAGGGGAGGGTTCAGAGCCAGGGTTCAGGAGAGGATACATAGTCAGGATTCAGGGGAGGGTTCAGGGGAGGGTTCAGGGGAGGGTTTCAGGGGAGGGTTCAGGGGAGGGTTCAGGGGAAGGTTCAGAGTAAGGTTTCAGGGAGGGGTTCAGAGTCAGGATTCAAGGGAGGGTTCAGGGGAGGGTTCAGAGTCAGGGTTCAGGGGAGGGCTAAGAGTCAGGGTTCAGGGGAGGGTTCAGAGTCAGGGTTCAAGGGAGGGCTCAGAGCCAGGGTTCAGGGGAGGGTTCAGAGCCAGGGTTCAGGGGTGGGTTCAGAATCAGGGTTCAGGGGAGGGTTTAGGGCAAGGCTCAAGGAGAGTTCAGGGGAGGATTCATGGGAGGGTTCATGGGAGGTTCAGGGGAGGTTCAGTGGAGATTCAGGGGAGGTTCAGGGGAGATTCAGGGGAGGTTCAGGGGAGGTTCAGGGGAGAGCATGATAAGAGACGCTCACATTATTGGCCTGAAAATGTCACCTTGACTTTAATTAGAACAATTTTTATATGAAATGTTGAATGGAAAGTTAGGAAACGTACCTTGACCTCCGAGGTGGCCCTGGAGGTCGACCTTGTCCTCTGAGGTGGCCCTGGAGGTCGACCTTGTCCTCTGAGGTGGCCCTGGAGGTCACCTTGTCCTCCGAGGTGGCCCTGGAGGTCGACCCTGTCCTCTGAGGTGGCCCTGGAGGTCGACCTTGTCCTTCGAGGTGGCCCTGGAGGTCGACCTTGACCTCCGAGGTGGCCCTGGAGGTCGACCTTGTCCTCCGAGGTGGCCCTGGAGGTCGACCTTGTCCTCTGAGGTGGCCTTGGAGGTCGACCTTGACCTCCGAGGTGGCCCTGGAGGTCGACCTTGACCTCCGAGGTGACCCTGGAGGTCGACCTTGACCTCCGAGGTGGCCCTGGAGGTCGACCTTGACCTCCTAGGTGGCCCTGGAGGTCGACCTTGTCCTCCGAGGTGACCCTGGAGGTCGACCTTGTCCTCCGAGGTGACCCTGGAGGTCGACCTTGTCCTCCGAGGTGACCCTGGAGGGCGACCTTGTCCTCCCAGGTGACCCTGGAGGTTGACCTTGTCCTCCGAGGTGACCCTGGAGGTCGACCTTTTCTTCCGAGGTGATCCTGGAGGTCGACCTTGTCCTCCGAGGTGACCCTGGAGGTCGACCTTGTCCTCCGAGATGACCCTGGAGGTCGAATTTGTCCTCCGAGATGAGGCTGGAGGTCGACCTTGTCCTCCGAGGTGAGGCTGGAGGTCGACCTTGTTTTCCGAGGTGAGGCTGGAGGTCGACCTTGTCCTCCGAGGTGTGACTGGAGGTCAGCCTTGTCCTTCGACGTGAGGCTGGAGGTCGACTCTGTCCTCCGAGGTGAGACTGGAGGTCGACCTTGTCCTCCAAGGTGAGGCTGGAATTCGACCTTGTACTCCGAGGTGAGACTGGAGGTCGTCCTTGTCCTCCGAGGTGAGGCTGGAGGTCGACCTTGTCCTTCGAGGTGAGGCTGGAGGTCAACCTAGTCCTCCGAGGTGAGGCTGGAGGTCGACCTTGTCCTCCGAGGTGAGACTGGAGGTCAACCTTCTCCTCCGAGGTGAGGCTGGAATTCGACCTTGTCCTCCGAAGTGAGGCTGGAGATCGACCTTGCCCTCCGAGGTGAGGCTGGAGGTCGACCTTTTCCTCCGAGGTGAGACTGGAGGTCGACCTTGCCCTCCGAGGTGATCCTGGAGGTCGACCTTTTCCTCCGAGGTGAGGGTGGAGGTCGACCTTGTTCTCAAAGGTAAGGCTGGAAGTCGACCTTATCCTCCGAGGTTAGGCTTGAAGTCGCCCTTGTACTTTGGTGGAGGCTGGAGGTCGATGATGTCCCCGGGGGGGGTGAAAGTCGATCTTGTTCTCCGGAGGACAATAGAGAGGTCGACCTTAAACTAGGGAGGGGGGAGAGGGGTGAGGCTGGGGAAGGGGGAGGGTGGAGGTAGCTGGAGAGGTCGACCTTCACTCTCGCTGCTCAAGTATTACACTCATGTGCTCCTCCTCTTTTCGTATTATTCTTCCTATTCTTTATCCTCCTCTTCTCATATTGTTCTTCCTCTTCTTTCCCCTCCTCTTCTGTTATTCTGCTCTGTTTTTTCACATCCCTTTTCCCTCACCTGCAATAAAAATCTTCCTCGGTTATTTTTACATTTCTCTTACGCTTAAGAGGTTCTTCCTATACGCCGCCTCCTCCTTCTCCTCCTCCTTTTTCTCTTCCTCCTCCACTTCCTCCTTCTATGGCACCCGCCGCCGCCGCCGCCGCCACCGCGTCCTCTTCCTTCAGCAAAGGTTGAAGGAGAGGTCTAGAATGTCTATCCGTTTCTATCACAGGGGCTACCCGGAGGGCAACACCCGGCAGCTGTCTGTCAGAGGAGCTGCCCAGTGGGCAGGACCCGGTGGTTGTCTATCGCAGGGCCTTCCCAAAGGGCAGGACCCGGTGGTTGTCTATCGCAGGAGTTGCTCTAAGGGCAAGAGCCAACGGCTGTCTATCGTAGGGGCTGTCTTGTCTTGTCAGCTGTCAGTCTCACTTCATCACTCCGTCAGCGGAAACAACTCAAAAATTAACAAAACAAAAATACAGTCACTTAGAATCTTTAAATTACTTTTTTTAGCATTTTTAAAGAAACTTATTGATATGCAATTTTTTTATAATGCGTCCAAGAGAAGAGGAAGTAGTTGGTGTTAGTGGTGTTGGCAGATTACCGAGGACAGCGATGTTGGCACTGCGGTTTAGCAGCAGTGCCTCGCGGAGTGGCGTGGTGGAGCGGCACTGTAGCAGCGTCCTCCCACTATGACGTCTCGACACACACTGAGAGCCACCAGGCACCCGGCTCTCCCTCTACACGCTGGCACCTTGATTAGCTGTGACCCTGGGACAATACTTGGCACTGGTATTGACCTACTGAACCTGAATGGTACCGGTCCTGACCTGGAGTACATTACTGAATATAGGCAAAGGGATACCACAGCCTGATTCCCAATGACGGACCTGTACGCAGGTCCTTCATTGTTGAGACCTGATTCGCTATGACGGACTTGCATGCAGGTCCGTCACTGCTGAGGCCTGATTCATTATGACAGACTTGCATGCAGGTCCGTCACTGCTGAGACCTGATTCATTATGACAGACTTGCATGCAGGTCCGTCACTGCTGAGACCTGATTCATTATGACAGATTTGCATGCAGGTCCGTCACTGCTGAGACCTGATTCATTATGACAGATTTGCATGCAGGTCCGTCACTGCTGAGACCTGATTCATTATGACAGATTTGCATGCAGGTCCGTCACTGCTGAGACCTGATTCATTATGACAGATTTGCATGCAGGTCCGTCACTGCTGAGACCTGATTCATTATGACAGATTTGCATGCAGGTCCGTCACTGCTGAGACCTGATTCATTATGACAGACTTGCATGCAGGTCCGTCACTGCTGAGACCTGATTCATTATGACAGACTTACATGCAGGTCCGTCACTGCTGAAACCTGATTCACTATGACAGACTTACATGCAGGTCCGTCACTGCTGAAACCTGATTCACTATGACAGACTTACATGCAGGTCCGTCACTGGTGAGACCTGATTCACTATGACAGACTTACATGCAGGTCCGTCACTGCTGAGACCTGATTCACTATGACAGACTTACATGCAGGTCCGTCACTGCTGAGACCTGATTCACTATGACAGACTTACATGCAGGTCCGTCACTGCTGAGACCTGAATCCCGTTGTAAATTTTTGTCATTTTACTCATGATCCTGAAACTTTCTCATAATTATCAATAAGATCCAGTATGAAAGATGTCCAGGAAGATGAAGTATAAGATATTAGGAAGATACTTAACAACTACTTCACTTGTCTGGCGGCAATACGTACCATAGCGCACAATCAATTATTTGTGTATTGTTCCAGTCACGGTATTGTTCCTTTTTATTCTATAACAATTGATTGTGTATTTTAGTAGTGCCAGACACTGTGTTCTGTTTAATAAACAAGTAATATATCAAAACAGGTACTTAACAACTTGTTTACAAATTAATAAAATTGTGTTGACTTTGTACACTGTGTGGGAACATATGTGATACATTTTATATACGTTTTTTTTATGATGTAAATAACCTCGGTACCTTATATAGCCGATGCAAGATGTATACAACGTTGTGAAACATAAGCTAACACCAGCAATAGCGACCATCAGACATCCTAAGGATGTCATCGAAGGTGCCGCTACTACAGGCAGTGCAATTATTGTCTGCCTCAACTGTGACAGTGCACAGAAAACCTAAGAAGAGCTAGAGGAAAGCCCTGGACAGCAAGGTATCAAGAGAGCAACATCCTGCTTCAATCAGCAAGCCAACTGAGCACTTCCTACATATTATCCATATGAGATACAATCAAAGAGAACACCAGTACGCATTCTACCTCACCAACAAAGCTATATAAGGATGCACAACACGATAATACGATTAAAATGGGGGAAAAAACAGTTTGGAGACGAGAGCAGCACGTCCATCCAGGATCAAAGACAACCTTCAATTGCTGGCCGGTATGAATGAAACATAGCAGAAGAGGTGTTTGCACAGACACACAAACACACACACGCACACACACACACACACACACACACACAGGGACAGGACACAGGAGGCAGGATATTCCAGAGATGGGACACAAAAACAAGGGATCACAATTGGAAGTTGAAGACTCAGATGAGTCAGAGAGATGTTAAGAAGCACTTCTTTAGTCATAGAGTTGTCAGGAAGTGGAATAGTCTGACAAGTGATGTAGTGGAAGCAGGAACCATACATAGTTTTAAGACGAGGTATGACAAGCTCATGGAGCAGGGAGAGAGAGGACCTAGTAGCGACCAGTGAAGAGACGGGGCCAGGAGCTATCTCTTGACCCCTGCAACCACAAATAGGTGAGTACACACACACAAACACATACACAAAGCATAGGACACACACACACACATACACACACACACAAACACACACACACACACACACACACACACACACACACACACACACACACACACATACACACACCCACACAAACACACGTAAGGGACACGTAAGGGACACTACAAGAGAAAGAGGAGAGGATGAACCAGCAAGGCTGGACTTAGTATTCACCTTGAGTAGTGCAGATATCGAGGACATCACATATGAAAGACCCCTTGGGGCCAGCGACCATGTGGTTTTAAGCTTCGAATACACAGTAGAGCTACAAGTGGGGGGAGAAGCAGGAAGGCCAGGACGAATGAAGCCAAACTACAAGAAAGGGGACTACACAGGAATGAGGAACTTCCTGAACGGGGTTCAGTGGGACAGAGAACTGGCAGGAAAGCCAGTTAATGAGATGATGGAATATGTAGCAACAAAATGCAAGAAGGCTGAGGAGAGGTTTGTACCCAAGGGTAACAGGAATAATGAAAAGCCAGGATGAGCCCATGGTTCACCCAAAGGTGCAGGGAGCAAAAACCAAGTGTGCTAGGGAATGGAAAAAATATAGAAGGCAAAGGACCCAGGAGAATAAGGAGAGCAGTCATAGAGCCAGAAACGAATATGCACAGATAAGAAGGGAGGCCCAAAGACAATATGAAAACGACATAGCAGCGAAAGCAAATCTGACCCGAAACTGTTTATACAGCCACATCAGGAGGAAAACAACAGTCAAGGACCAGGTAATCAGGCTAAGGAAGGAAGGAAGAGAGACAACAAGAAATGACCGTGAAGTATGTGAGGAACTCAACAAGAGATTCAAAGAAGTGTTCACAGAGGAGACAGAAGGGGCTCCAGAAAGACGGAGAGGTGGGGCACACCACCATGTGCTGGACACAGTGCACACAACCGAGGAAGAAGTGAAGAGGCTTCTGAGTGAGCTAGATACCTCAAAGGCAATGGGGCCAGATAACATCTCACCCATGGGTATTGAGAGAGGGAGCAGAGGCGCTATGTGTACCCCTAACAACAATATTCAATACATCTATCGAAAACAGGGAGATTGCCTGAGGCATGGAAGACAGCAAATGTAGTCCCAATCTTTAAAAAAGGAGACAGACATGAAGCACTAAACTACAGACCAGTGTCACTGACTGTATAGTATGCAAAATCATGGAGAAGATTATCAGGAGAAGAGTGGTGGAACACCTAGAAAGGAATGATCTCATCAACAGCAGCCAACATGGTTTCAGGGACGGGAAATCCTGTGTCACAAACCTACTGGAGTTCTATGACAGGGTGACAGCAGTAAGACAAGAGAGAGAGGGGTGGGTGGATTGCATATTCTTGGACAGCAAGAAGGCGTTTGACACAATTCCACACAAGAGATTGGTGCAAAAACTGGAGGACCAAGCAGGGATAACAGGGAAGGCACTACAATGGATCAGGGAATATTTGTCAGGAAGACAGCAGCGAGTCATGGTACGTGGCGAGGTGTCAGAGTGGGCACCTGTGACCAGCGGGTTC